ACTATAATATAAACAACAATATGAATAATAAATCTCAAACCTTTATGCTAAGCAAAAGAAGTCAGATACAAAAGATTATGTACCATATGATTCCATATATATAAAGTTTAAGAGCAAACAAAAGAAATCCGTATAAAGATTAGAATAGTGATCACTTCTGGGAAGAGGGAAGGGCCATGAGCCAGGGTGATGGCAATGCTCTATATTTTGATTGGTCAAAAACCTTTGATGTGTACACTTAATATTTGTGCATCTTCGTGTACGTATTTATACCCCATTTACACACACACACACATGCACACACACACCCATACAGTATAAATTGAAGATCCCATTTCCTCCCAAACCCATTCCCTTCTTCAGTCATGACCACTGTTTTTATAGACTGGTGTGGAGTTTCCAGGAGTTTCCATTTATATGCATGTGTGTCTATATACATCCAAATAGGCATTCCTATTTTAACATAAATAAGATCAGACTATATGTATTATTTCTATTTCTGCTACCTGCTTTCTTTTTTGAGTAATAATATATCCTGAAGGCTTTTCCATGTCCATACTTCATTTTGCCTTAATCTTTTTAGCGACCCTGATTTTATGTTATGAATATACTTAATTTCTTCAGTTTCCTTCTGATGAATGATTAGGCAATTTTCAAATTTTTACTTTTACAGTTGTAATGGAAATGTTTGTATATATATATTATATATATATATATGCACATGTGCAAACACTTTTGTAGGTTGTTTTCCTAGCAGAAGGGTTTGCTTAGGCAAAAGGAAGGTATGCTTTGGTGGAAATTGCCAAATTGATTTCCAAAAATCCTTTTGTTAATTACACTCCTCATGACCAATGTGAGAGAGCTAGATTCCTGCATTCTTCCCAGCAATGAATATTACCAATCTTTAAAAGTTTTTGAGAGCAGATGGGTGAAAAAGTGGCATCTTTTTGTTTCTATTGAGATTTCAAAATAAGTTTCGATTTTCTCCTTGTTTTGCAAATATGCACATGCCCTTGGACAAACATATGCATCTCCTGTCCTGTACTCCTAGCTATGTAATTCCAGAGGTCTCAGAGTCTAACACGTTCTCACTACCAAGTTAGCACTTTATTCTTAGAAGTTGACAGATGATTCTAGTGAAAATGGCAGGATTCTGTTCTCTCTGACATGCTTTCTTAATATGGTAGTCATTGTTGACCTTGAACCTGTTGGAAATTTTTAATTTAATGCAAATTCCTTGATGGCAACTGAATTTTGAATAGTGACATCCCTTGCTTTATGAAACTGGTAAATTTAAATTAAACATTGAAAATTAACCTTACCACTATATTTTCCAAACACTTCTTTTACCATAATTGTTTTTATCTTTTTAAAATTTACATTTTGCATATATTCTTAATGCTGCTTTTTTTTCTGGAGAAAAAAATTCACCCCAAAGAAACCTTTTTTTTTTTTTTTTTTAAATAATGGAGCACGTCAGTCTCTGGCAGAGCCTTGCCAAGTGGTTGGGTGTTTGACAAAGAGTGATACTTGCTTCTGGGGCAGGATAGTAAGAAGGCATGGCAGTCTCCATGACCAGGGCCCTTCCCGTCTAGATTTTGGAGCTATTTGAAAGCTGTACTGAATTTAGCACTTTGATTCATTCAGTGTGGGTGTACTTCTGCAGGTAGGAGAAGATGTGGAGACTGATAGGTCACTTACAGATTTTATTCTTACAAATGCTGAAGTTGTTGCTAGCAAAAATCACTGTGGTCATTTTTTCACTGACATCTGTGAGGGAATTTTCTCTTCTCTAAGAGATCTAGTATTTTTAAATTTCATGACTCCTCTGCCTGCCTCCCTCATAAATTGCCATTTTAACCTGTGTTTTAGGTAGCCTTAGGGCTTCCCTGAGAAACACTTGAGAGAGGAGTTCTCTGGTAGTGAGGCTCTGCTCACCTGTTCCACCCCACTTCTTGCTTCTTTCCTACCTGTGCGAGAGCATTCCTTCATTTCCCTTTTGACTTTCAGGTAAGCATTAAGTGAAAGAAAGGCTTCAACTGCTAGAAATATCTTTGAAAACCGTGGCACTACTTCAGGAGAGTGTGGACACTTTATATGTAGCTATTGACAGTTTCATGTACAAATACAAGATGATCATTCTCATCACCTTGCTCTGCATCTCTCTGATTGGCCCAAATCCTGAGCAATGCCATTCAAAACCCGACTTTCCTTTTTCAGTCACTGGTGTCTCAAATAAGGGAGTGTTGAAAGGAGTGGCTGGAGATAGGCCTCCAGCATAATGTCAAAACTTCAGTTCCCCATTTTTCTTAGCCACTAATTCTTGGTTGTTTTTTTTTTTTTTTTTTTTTTTTTTTTTTTTAAGAGTCTTGCTCTTTCACCCCCGCGGGAGTGCGGTCAGTGGTGTGATCTTTTCTCAGTGCAACCTCCACTTCCCACGTTCATGCCATTCTCCCGCCTCAGCCTCCCAAGTAGCTGGGACTACAGGTGCCTGCCACCACGGCCGGCTATTTTTTTTTTTTCCCGTATTTTTAGTAGAGAGGGGTTTCACTGTGGTAGACAGGATGGTCTCAATCTCCTGACCTCGTGATCCACCCGCCTTGGCCTCCCAAAGTGCTGGGATTATAGGCGTGAGCCACGGCACCTGGCTGCCACTCATTCTTAGGAAAGCTTTAAGGGACATGTGGGTTTAGAATTTGCTTTTTTTCTTTGGGATTGAAAAATCGTTGCAGTGTCCCTGAAAGTAAGGTCACTGTGTTCAGACTGCTCTAAGGACTTTACAGGAGTTCTTTCACTATGCAAATGATGTTTGTAATAATAATCTGTATTTGTCACCCATACTTGGGACAGAGGCACTTTTAGCAGTTGGTTCTATTTAATACTGTACTCTAAAGTAATACAATTATTTCTTTTAAAAAATACCCTCTAATTAAACAATTACACGAATCATCCTAACCTCTCCATTATATCCTGTTACTGAGCTCTGGCCTTATTTCCTAAGGAACTGGAAAATATGACTGCCCTAGGTTTGCATGGGCTTTGGAAATACTGTGTCCTCATTCAATTAGAAAGCAAGATTCATTCTTAACATCTTTATACTAACCAAAAGACAGTTTCCTCAAAGTGGATTAACACGCAAGTTTGACTTGGTGGCTTCATGTGTGTACATTGCTGTATCAGGTAAAAATGGAGAAATATTGGACAAAAATTATGCAACTCAAAGACTAAGGAGATGGTCATTCTATCATACTTTATAACCTACTAATAAGTGCTACCAATAATATTTAAATCATGGCTTTAGTTAGTGTAAATATTCATAAGAAGCCAAAAGGTTCAGAATATATAAGTTCAGAAAATATTTTATATATATATATATATATAGTGTGTGTGTGTGTGTGTGAGAGAGTGTGTGTTATTTAGAGATGGGGGCCTTGCTATGTTGCGCAGGCTGGACTCTAACTCCTGGGCTCAAGTGATCCTCCTGCCTCAGACTCCTGAGTAGCTGGGACTACAGGCATGAGCCACTGCACCCTCGGACTATTTTTATTAGCAGGGAGTACACTGTTAGTGCCAGATAATATTATTCTACTAACTAAACAATGCTCTTGTGCTTTGTTTGCTTGGAATGGGAGAGAGTAGGGGAGTATATAATTTATGGGGACTAGAAATAAGAGTTTCTTGTGGAGAGCAGTTTTCATTTGATTTTACTTGCTTCAATTTCACGTTTGCTGTTTATCATCTAGTTCTTACCTTGTTTACATTTTCAAAAGATCAGTGATTCTCACTATGTTTTTTACGGAGTCAGGGCTCAGTAACAGTGGTTGACGTGGCAATGCTGGGGTATGGGGGAAAGGGATCCGAAGGGACCCCAAATGATTCTGCTGCTCATCCCTCCTCTTGTGGTCAATACTCCCGAGCCCTCCGTACTGCCCTCCTACCTCCTCATGTGTTGGATTAGATTTATTACAGCTGCTGTGGACATGGTTGCCTAAATCTGTGGAATGTTTTGCTAAACGCTGCTGGTGCAATAGTACACATTAAGCTTATAATTCCCATTGTTGTTTTCTTGAACCCGTTCTTTATACTTAGTCTTTTACTCACTTGATCACTTTATGATTTTGCACTTTGACATCTTGTAGATTCATTAAGAATTTTTACTCCAAGCCCCAGAACTTTGTTTAACATTATGATTAGCCAAATTGTTATTGTGTTTGAGCTAAGTGATGACAATGTATTTGATTGGAGCCTTGTAATTGTTATTTTAAAATCAAAGTAATGGATTTTGATCTCAGAATAAGAACATGATCCAAAAGAATAATAATGATAATAATTAGAACAGCAACCAATTAGAAGAAAATAAATGCCCTATCATGGACCAGAGGCCCTATGTGCCTGGGCCCTGCCTACCTGTGCAGTCCCATCTCCCACCCACATCTACCCTTCCCTGGATTAGCCTCACTGCAGCCTTCCGGTTTCTTCTTTCCTGTCTTGGGAATTACATGCATTGTTCTCTCTACTTGAGAGCTCCGCCACTGGTGTTTCTCTTGGTTAGCTCCTTCTAATCTCACCCACAGTCTCACTTTGCTAGGGAGGCTTTCCCTGGCCACAGCATCTAAAGTCGTCTCCTTCCACTCCACCACCTGTCCACACAAGCACATCACTGTCTCTCACAGCATGCTGTTTGTTTCCTTCAACATTAAGAAACCTAACTTGTGTTTCCTTGATACTTGTCCATCTTGCCCACTGGCCTCTAAGCTCCATGAGGGTGAAGATTATACCTGCCCCATTTGCCACTGCAGCCCCAGTGCTTTCCTGGAACCTGGTATTAAGTGGATGCTCAATACGTATTTGTAGTTGAATTAATGGATTATTTAGAAGTATCATCTTTTTTCCCAAGCCCATATCCAGATAGCCTATGCTTAGTACTTCCTGAGTCTATTTGTGATAGCATATGATCTTCCAGTGGTAGAATTTAACCAAGCTGTGCTGACTTTTCTCAGGCATATGAAAGATCAGAATAAGAAGGTGGCCAACCTCAAGCACAATCAACAGTTGGAAAAGAAGAAAAATGCTCAGCTACTAGAAGAAGTCCGCAGGCGAGAAGATAGCATGGTTGACAACTCACAGCATTTGCAGGTAAGCACGGGCTTCTCTTCTTAATCCCTAAATAACTAGAGATGGACTCTCTCAGAAATGTCACCATTGCTGCTGGAAAATATTCACAGAAATGGTGGACTTTGCCTTTGCCTGGGTCTAGCACTAACAAGGAACCCAGTAGGTCTTTCCCAGGGAGGGTCATCATTTTCAGAATGGTGGCCATGAAAAGCCAATTACGGTAGAGCCTAGAAATACAATGCAGAGTCTTTTGGTTCCTGTAACTCACCTTTAAAGGTAAGGGCTGCATTTATGTAGTTGGCAAGAAACTTAAAACATAGAAATGTCTTCGTTTTCAATTTATATTTAAATTATTTTGGGAATAGAAGAAGGCAAATGTGTGTGTATTATCATAGAAGGTATTTGGGTGAGGATGTATTCAGTTGATCCCAGACAGTTTACAAAACCAGTTTTGTTTTGTTCAAGACTGCGAGGCTCAGGCGCAGATTATTATTCTGTCTTCTCCGTGAATATAGTTATCTTTCAATGGACAGTTCTATCTTAGAAACAAACCAACTCACTGGAAACACCAATTTTTCCTCATTAACCACCCTTATTTTTGGCCAAGGAGTGCTCCCCATGTACTCAATAAAACATTCAAGTTAAAACAGGGCATTTGCTTTGAAGTTCCTTTATTTATTCCAGGGTGCCTTTAAACAGAGCAGTTCAAGTTGGCTGGAGTTCATGTTAAATTTTGGTTATTAATTAGTGTCTTTCTCCAGTCATATATTAGGTTTCCTCCTTGGAGATAGGAGAAGTTAGATAATTTCAATATGTACTCATAGTTCATCTTTTTAATTGGCCAAAAGAAAAATCAATAATTATTCCAGAGTAGGAAATACAAGGAAGTACCTTGCATAGGGCATGGCACATGGGGACTCGTTAGTCAATATTAGTGGGTTTTTTTTTTTCTCTCTGTGTCCTAGACATGCCTTCTGGTGTCACTGAAGGCCCTTTACATTGATGCCTGATTTGGAACGTTCACTGAATAGTGAGACAATAGTAGGTGGGCCCAGAACTTTTTTTTTTGTTTGAGATGGAGTCTCCCTCTGTCACCCAGGCTGGAGAGCAGTGGCGTGATCTTGGCTCACGGCAAGCTCCACTTCCTGAGTTCACGCCATTCTCCTGCCTCAGCCTCCCACGTAGCTGGGACTACAGGTGCCTGCCACCAGACCCAGCTAATTTTTTTTCTATTTTTAGTAGAGACGGGGTTTCACCATGTTAGCCAGGATGGTCTCAATCTCTTGACCTCGTGATCCGCCTACCTCGGCCTCCCAGAGTGTTGGGATTACAGGTGTGAGCCACCGCACCCGGCCAGGTGGGCCCAGAACTTTAAAGAGGACCTGACGCTAGGGCTCACCTTGCTATGGTGTATTCTGTAAAAGAATAATAATAATTGCATCTGCTTCAGAGTAGTTGTGAGACTTAAAGAGTCAAAGCATATAAATAGTTTAGAATTGACTATGCCCAAAATAAGCATTCATGACTAATGGTTGTTATAACAAGGAAAAGGTAAATGAAACATTAAAAACGATTTGTCTACTATATGCAGAGGTATTTCTACAGTTCTAATCTGATATGCAATGAGCATCAAAGTTTTTATCTTTTCTATATATAGTAATTTCTTCTTTTCTAAGGGCACATCTAGTTATGGAAATTAATGTCTTGTTTTGGCCCATGAACTTTTGTAGAGCAATATTTTCATAACAGGCCTTGATAACTACCTCATAGCCCTGTTCATAAAAGATAGCATGGTCTGGAATTGCTTAGTTGCATTCCTGACCACCCCAAATAAAGGATAGCATTTGAAATGCAGTAAAAAGTAATCACGATTACTTTTAATGAAAATGTCTCTGGTTAAGGTTAATAGAGAGTAAACCTCCCACTTCCCTGGATTGTTAAGCAGATGTGCTCAGATGTAGTAATTACTGCCTTCTGAAAACAAAACTTTCTGGAGGCACTTGACTTTTTTAATATTGTTGTTGTTTTGAGCATTTCTCGTTTACAAGTTAGCCTGTTAAGCCTTTAAGTGTCAGTCAACCGGGATTTAGCCTGGCTGGTTGGTGGTTGTGGCAATGGCACCTGTTAATTTTTATTTATTCTACACAAGCATTTGGTAACAATTGGATACACTGGCTTCATGATTTTAACCAACCCAATAGGTATTATATCCAGAAAAATATAATGTAGGGTATGGCCTACAACAACAACAGCTAGTGGATCAGGCTTAAAAGAAGAGCACCAAGAGATTCAACTAGTTGGTATGAAAGTTGGTAAAAAAGTTGAATGAAGATAGAGTGACTATGTTTTTTATTGTTCAAACCAGAACACAAAAGGCATAGACAAAATCTGCATCACCTCAGTCAAACCTAGATATATAGCACAGTACGAAACATTTTACAAATACAGTCTTCTTTATTTCATAGGTTTATAGTTTTCCAACAGAAATTGCAAACTCAAATGCTTTCAGGGTCTAGGCTTTTAACGTAAGAAACAGGCTTGTGTGTAGGAAAAATAATGATGTCTGGTTCTTTCTGCCTGTTTTTTATGGTTTATTTTTGGTAGAGATGTGTCAGTTAGCAATTGCCATAATAATGTTGTGCTGTGCAACAAATCACCCCAAAACCCAGCGGCTTTATAGTACCAATAGTTTATTCTTACAGATTTGCAGGTTGACTAACTGGCCCAGCTGCTCTAAGGTGGGTTTGACTGGGCACTTCTACTCACTGCACGTCTGTGGTGGTGTCTGGGGCAGCTCTGTTACACGTGTTCATTCTGAGGCCGAAGAGGTGTGAGCAACCCAGGGAAAACTCTTCTAGTGACAGTTGCTGAGGCACAAGAGAATAAGCAAAACATGCTAGGCCTCACAAGGCCTAGTCTTGAAGTGATATTGTGATTTTCACCCTTTTCATTGGCCCAAAGCAAAGCACATAGCCAAGCCACAGATTGGAAAAGTACACTCTACTCACAAAGACAAAAATGTATGGGAGTAGATACGAGGAGAGGTGAAGAATTGGGGCCAATTATTCAGTCTATCAAAAGAGACAAGCCCTGGAGAAGTATTTCTCTATTATAAGAAAAATAGCATATGCATAATGAAAAAGTTCAGCTGTGGGTGGCCTTAGTGTGTGGATATACTTGAGGGTGGTGGGGAGCTGTAGGGAACTCAAGAACCGTTACTCATCTAAAGGAGTAATGGCCACTACGCTCTGGTTGAACACTGCTGTAAAGGTGGGCCTAGGGTGGTGGGACCTCCGATTGTCCAAGATAATCCATAAAATGGGAATTTGTATGTGAAATCTGTGGATTTTAGGAAGTTAGTTGAATTTTTAAACACTCTGGGATCCTGTGAAGCACACGTGCACATGAGTTGCCCACTGGCTTGTGGCCTCTGCTGCATGGCTTGGCACTCTGATCCCTGTGGGTCTACATAGTGTAAATAAACTGACTAAGAATACACCCTAGTTAGCCGAACTTGACTCATTGGAAAGGTGGCAGTTTAGCATTTGTCCTGAGTCCTCATTTTGTTTGAAGATACTTGAATAATTGTTTCTTAAAGGAAATCGTCCACAATCTACAGGAATAGGGAATGTTCTTGATTTAGCTTCTCAAATCATTTTTTGGAGCATTGACAAGGAGAACAGGAAGGGAAGGATGCAGAACCATGGAGTTGAACTAGCCAGTGTTCAAATACTGGCCCTTATTATTATTAGCTTAAGGCCTTGAGTATGGCAGAGAATCTCTCTGACCCTTACTTTTTTCATCTGTAAATGGGGATTGCAATCTTTACCTCCCTGGGTGGGTTAAATAAAATAAAGTTTGTGAAAGAACCTAGCACAGTACCTGACATATGTGGACTTCAGTTACTAGAGTTTTCTCCCAGAGAGACTGATAATGAGCTTTTAATCATCGAAGACAGTGACCATTGGGAGTATCAACCAACAAATTCTTTGCAACTATTTTACACTGATGAGTAATACAGATATAGAACACACACCAGTAAATGGAAATTCCCAATAAAGCATTAAAAAAACATTTTGGGCAATAAGGAGGAAAATTAAAACATTCTTCAAGTTAATGTTGAATTGTGTGTGAAAGGTGGATGTGAAAGATCGTGATTTTCTTGTATAATTCTGCAGAGCTTTTCCCAGAACACAGATTATAGGGCATGATATTTATGTCTGACCTTGGGGCTTTGGGCTTCTGTGTGTCCCATCAGAGCCCACATGGAGGTTTTTCAACAAGGTGTCTTTCTGGAGATTCACACTAAATCGTCTTTTCCAGAATGGGATGCTTTTTTTTTTTTTTTTTTTTTTTAAAGCTCTACCTATTTCTCACTGAGTAAATATGCCAATTTGAAACCCCAGTGGATATCCTTGTAGATTTTGGCTGCATTTTTCCATGTGTAGCTTATCGAGTTAATAAACTAACTTTCTAAAAAATGTACAAGTCGATGTTTTATGTTCCTTTTCTGTTATATGTCTGCAGAATTCTCTTCAATTTATTGCCTGAAAACTAAAGTCTGTTCTTGTGTGCTTCCGTTTCCAAATTATAGGTTCCCAGGGAACCGTAAAGTTTCTTCTCTGCCCGTGGTTAAACCCAAGTGTGATCACTTTAAAAAGCAAATGAATGTTCTCATTTATTCTTGTCCTTTTAATAGAATTCAAAAAAAAAAAAAAAAAAAAAAGGCTAGAAAGACAATTTTATTTTTTAATTTGTGTAACCCTGTACAGCCAATATCTTTTTTCGAAGGAGACTTCCTTTACTTTCCTCCTCCAATTAGAGTTGGAATCAGCTAACAGAGGAAGTGTAACAAACAACATAAACCTCAAAAATGCATAGCTTTCAGCAAAACATATAGTTCATTATGGAGTTCCCAAGGTTTGCTAAGTTGTTTCTTTGCAGAAGGATGTGTACATCTTAAGCAACAACTTTTTAAGCTTCATATCTATATGTTCATCTCTACAAGTCACTAAGTTAAA